TTCATTTCAATGAACATCTACAAAGATTTTGGAATTCCAGTCATTCATTGTTGTACTTTTCTCCCCCCCCACCCCCAGTTCGCTCCTAAAAATGGCCCATTCTAAAACTACTAATGCCTCAGTTATTTCTCTTATCTAATATTAGTTAAGGTTCTAAAACTACTCATGTCTGAGGATCTTTCTTAACTAATATTAGTAGCACTTTGGCAGTAATTTTTATAGTATCTATTTGAAAAGCCATAAGATCAGGATATTTTTAAGGTATTTCTAGTGAATTAGCACTAATGCTAAAATTTTCATTTCTAAATCGAGGCACTAAAGTATACTAGTCAGTCAAATCACACTGTAAAGGCTAAAAGTAATAAAAATTTAGAAAACAGATTTTCACATGAGTTTACATGATTCCAAATTTTTGGTAGTAAAAGTTAAGTTTGCCAAAAGTTCTTTTCGCCACTCTGCCAAATTTGTGAAGACATAATTCTCTAGAAGGCTTGTAAAATGTAGAAATAAAAAGACCCGGCTTTGAATTTCTGTTCTATTCCTCAAATGAGTATTGATGAGGGCAGGGGGTGTCGTAGGGGTTGGGGATCTTGGACCTGTTGCCTCATCAAAAACTGAGGACAATCATACAAACCTACAGGATTGTTATCTGGGTCAGAGATTTGTATATGTAAAGTGGTAAGCAATAGTTTTGTTAGATAGAAGCTAGTCAATGATATTAAAATTCTCAGCACCTTGATAAAATTAAAAACTTGAAAAAATTTATTAAAATTAAAAAATTTAAATTATAACATCTCATACCACTTCTTACCCTAAATGTATACTCAAATTATATTAATAGAGTTATTAAAATAATACTGCCAAGATCTTTTGCAATCAAGCATTACAGTCCATCATCTAGAATAGTTGAGATCCTATACTGCTTCATTTTTTTCCTCAAAGAAAAGTTATGCTTTAACCAAACATGAAACTCATTTTTCCTCATTTAAAAGGAGAATACTAACTAAGCTAAAAGGAAATTATAAATGAGTCATATGTACTCCATTTGCTCACTAGACTGCTTCTGCTTACAATATTTTTAATGTTATTCCTTAAAAATATTAACTGGTTCAAAAATGTCCTAACAGTCATAAATTTAAAAAAATGGGTATATTTGTATAAAAAAATACCTTAGGTGAGGCGTGGGGATGATACAATCAGCAAATTAACAAAATATTTAAGCTAATGAGAATGAATAATCATTATATATCTGTGTTATTAATTTGTTACTACAGATACTAGGAGCCCTAGTCAAATAGTACATTGCAAGTTGTGCTGCTAACCCAAAGGATATATCACTTGGGTGGTTTGAATCCACCAGCAGCTCCATAAAGAAAGATGTCCTCCTGTCTAAAGAGGCAAGAACAGGAAAGTGGGGCACAGGGTCATGTGACAATCTCTCTGAAAGGCCCAGAGGCAATGAGAATAACACAGCTCCTCACTGACCTAGGGCAGAAAGCTGATACAGAGCCTCTAGCTCAGCCCCATGGTACCTCTTGATCCAGAGTCCCATTTATTCATTCCTGACTGACAGCCTCACAGTTATGGTACCAACAATGGGGTTTATAAGGAAGTGAGTGGGGAAGGCAAGGAATACTTCACAATACAACAATACAAGTCTAGGATTAGCCTACAGAAGTCACAATTCCTCAGTAAGTCCAGGATCCAGTTTCAGTTCAGCAGTCAAATCCAAATCATGTGGCAAAATTTGCCTCAGAGCAGTTATAAGTCAGCTTCTTCAAACATCCAGCACAAATGCAAGCAGTCTTAGGTCATGCCTTGCCACCGTTTGTCCACAGCAATGCCACAGTCTCTCCATCACCAGGATCTTGCTCTCACTAGGTTTTGCTGCCTCGAGCCTCGTTCACCTCAAGCCTCACTGCCCATTGTGGGAAGCACTCGTTCACTTATCCTAGTCCCACAGGTGATGCTAATATGTAAGGCCATGCTGATTTGCAAGAACATGTGTCTGCAGTTAAGGTAGCTGGAGACTAGAGGCTAACTGCCTAAAAAAAGCCAACCTTTTAGTATAATAACCCACTTGCTACACTATTTACAGCCTTGGAAACTTACTGGAAGGTTAAACGAGCCGCACTCTCAAAGGCATGTGGTTTGAGGTCATTAGCTGCTCCATGGGAAAAGAATGCGTAATCTCCTGTGTGATTGATTCTGAAAACATGCTTGAGGGTCAGCTATGGGTCAGCTACATCTCTACAGTACACAACAACAACTTATATATATATATTTATACAACTACTTGAATTATCCATTTCTATAATAAATGTGCTCTGGTAGCACAACATGCTACATTGCTAACCAAGAGGTCAGTGGTTCTAATTTACCAGTTCTTTCAAGCGAGAAAGATGGGCAATCTCCTCCCATTAAGATTTATTGCCTTGGAAACTCAATAGAGGATCACTATGATTCAGAACTAACTATAAGGCAGTAGAGTACAGAATAATTAAATATTATTTTAAACAATCATGATCTCTGATTCACTTCCGTTTAATAGGCATTCTCAGTAGATAAACTAATGTCTTGTATATACACACTTTGTATCATTTATACAGTATATCTAAGGAGTTCTGGTGGCATCTTAGTAAGAATCTGTGCTGCAATCCCAAAGGCATACAGTTAAAATCCACCAGCTGCTCTGCAGGAGAAGTGGGGAATCTCTTCATGTGTAATTTACTGCCTCTGAAAATCTGCCGAAAAGTCAGGAATAGGTCAGTTCTGACTTGATAGCAAACAACAACAACAATAATCTCTATGTACATCTGCCAGGAATATTATCTAGCAATAAGATCTCAGTAAATATTTGCTAAATTAATACAATGTCTAAATTATTAGATCAAGGCAGGCAGAATTTTGTAAATGAGGATACTTGAAATAAGTTAACCTGCTCAAGCCCACATTTTAAGTAACAGAATTTTCATTTCAGTTCTAAAGTTAGTATCTTAATTACCACACTCTATGATTGCCTACATTATTTTCCCTTTTATTTATATGTCTTGTATTAAACAGTAAATGGTTGGCTTTTTTTTGCTTGAATAATTCTTTTTTTATTGTTATTAAATTTTATTAGTTTTAATGAACATTTACAGGGATTTTGGTGAATAATTCTTTTTAAATCAAACAGCTAGAGTCTGAGTTCTGATTCTGCTACTTGCTGGCTCTATGATTCTGAAACACAAAAAAAAACAACCCCAAAAAAGTACCCAGTTTCACCATACATAAAATACAGGCCATTGCATCAACACATCAAATTAATACACTGTTTTAAAGGCAAAATGCATGTAAAGCACTCAGCAAGACACTAGCCACTGGCAATAAAGCAGACCCTTAAAATGCTTTTCCTTCACTTGGGTTTATAAAACAGATGGAAATCAAGGACAGGAGAGTTACAGGAATGTAAGATTTTCAGAAAACATATAAGTGGTCAGCATTTTTACTAAAGTTGTTATTTTGGATATTTGGGAGAGTTAGTTTTTGAAATTATCTGGCTTTACTCCGACTGCTCAGAGGTAGTATATATTATGTGGACGAAATGAATATTATAGCTGAGAATAAAGTTAAGACAGAAAGGAAGGAAGAATTTCAACTTTATTAAAATACTGTTGTTGCTGCTGTGTATCACTGAGTCAGAACCAACCCATAACTGACCCTGGCTTCAGAAACAGTAAATTGCAAGGGAGGAGACTGCTGATCGTTCTCACACGGAACAACAGACTGATTCAAATGTAATGCCTTTGGGATTGTGGCACAGTTTTCTACCATTAGGCCACCAGAGCTCCCTTTCCAACTTGACTAAAGTACCAGCTATTTAAAATTCATTGAACAAGTGTTTCCCACACCTTCTTACCTGATACTGGTAGTTTCTGTATATTGTACAGCCATCAGCTGAGAATTTGAACCCTGTTCCAAAGCACCCTAGAAGAGAGGGGGGAAAGGTTTTATAGATACATTGCAACTATAAAAATATAGAGAGAGTGAGGCTCAATTTATAGTCAATTAAAAAACTCTCATTAAAGGCACTGTGGCATTTGGACAAGAACAAACTGGGAGGAGGGTAGAGAGAATAGTGCAACAATGAGTGAGTGGAGGCCCAAAATCTCTGTAAATGTTTATGA